TTCATTTGTGACAACCAAAATGTCTCCCGACATTGCCATGTGTCCCCTGGGGGCAAAATCACCCACAGCTGTTAATCACTGCTATAATCAATCACTTCCTCAAAGATCAGCATCACTTCTGAACTATGTTTTTCTTCTTCTAAATAAAAATCAAAATATCCTTGACCACACAAAGTGAAAACCATACCAACAAAGACAAGCATTTTTCTGTAAAGATACCAAAAGAATAGCTTCTGACAAGGGTCTACACATTTATTGTTACCATTGCAAATAACAAAACAGAAAATAACAGGTAAATAGACAGAACATATCTGCTTCTTGCTCAACTTAATAGGAAAGCACCTGCAATCTCATCTCTCTCCCATCTCTCAGTAGCATCTGGGATCTCACTGACATGCCAATATCTGACCCTGGGAAAGTCATCTGCTGAGCTACTGCCCAGGGTTGGAGCTGGGACACTTCAGGTGTTACTTCAACACAAACTGGTAACACAGGTACACATACAAGGAAACAGCACGGTGCAACTAAATTTCAAGGTCCATTAGCAGCACAAAGGGGGAAAACTGCACTTCCAAATGCAAGCCCTAGAATTCAGCAGGGACATTTTTCATTTTCAACTTTCAAATGGTGGTAATAATAATAATAATAATAATAATAATAATAGTTGCTGTTTTTAAGAACAGCTTCCAAATTCAAATACATTGCACTTCAACCCCAAATACTGGAAAGTGTTCCATATTGCTACTGACTTTGGAAAAAATGCAGGGTTGCCGAAGTTCAATTTGGACTAAATACCAGGAAACAGTCGCTTGAGTTATACCTGTACCTTTGATTTTGTGATTCTGTTTCCCAAGTGACCTCGCAATTATTAAGTCATCACAACACTACGTGGATGCTATCATTATGGTTTTGGCTTTTAGGGAACAGTCAACACTGACCAGTTACTCAGCTGACGTTGGATGACAACTCAATATTGAGAGTATAAATAAATGTGTACACATGCACATTTATTAGAGGCTGCACAATGTTGTTGTCCTCTAAAATATCACAATGTAGAATTGTAACTATCACATCCTATGAAGCCTCCACATTCCAGAACCATCAATGGGAAATTCAGTCCTGACCAACAAAAAAGGCAGTCCCACTCTTAGGTGGTGTCTGCTAAGGTCTGAGAACTATGGAAATGAAATACCAAGTCCGACTTCCAGGCAAATCACCACAAATGTAAATGGAGAAGACGAACCGTAAGAAACTCCTCTGGGTGATGAAACCAAATGCTGTTCCCTCCGATAGAAACCAATCCATGTGGGCAATATTTACTGAATTATCCTCAACAGGTAAGGGTACAATCAAGACACTATGGGCAGAACAAAGATAAATCAGATACTGTCTCAGTCCTTAGAACGCAAGCATTTTCATTATCAGATATGTACACTTTTTACCTTTTCCCCATTTCAGGTAGATGGCAAAGAACCACAGATCCAATCCTATTCACTCCACTTCCTCATTTAAGATCACAAAACTGAAGACAGAATGGGTCTTTCTCAAATTGAAAGCAGCATTCTAAAAGGAGAGAATTTTGACGAAGGCCTTTCAAACCCTTTCAGAAAGTAAACACAGAGAGATTTATTTACTGTGTGATTGGTGGAAGGCTGGGGATTTTAAAAATCCACTTTTTCATTCCTTTGAGTTCCCTTTCTCTCCAATAAGACAAACAGAGCTCAAAAATCCAGTTCAGTCGGATTTCTTGATTTTAATAAAGTTCATTTCCAACTAAATTTCTCTAGGGGCAAATTTACTTTCACATTAAAAAAATCTCTCAGTGATAAATTTGTGAAGATAAGCCATACTGGATAAAAGCTACACAGCACACAGCTAGAGACAGAAAATGACACACACACACACACACACACACACACACACAGCTATCCCTTTAAAGAAAATAAATTTAAATTTAGGGAATCCTTCTTCAATTGCTATGGTACCCAATTTAGAGACAGTTTATAGCCAACCAGAAGATATATCAGCAAGCAATAAGACACAACAATAAGCAATCAGAAACATCAGTGAGCAATAAGACACCAGAGTCAGCAGTAAAGACACACCAGGGAGAACATTTCTGAGCAATTACCACATGTCTCCATTCAGGAAGGGAGAGAGAAAAACTTCACTCAGCAAGGCCTGGAACCCCATGAAACTGAACTCCCACAACTCAGGTTGACAGAGGGGTCTGAAGACACCAGCATGGTCATGGATCAGAGAGAGGGCGGAAAAGCAAGGAAGGGCTGCCCATAAATGAGAACTGTTCACTTAAGTCCTCGTCCTTCTTTCTGGTACTCTATAGACATGGCAAACCATTTTTTAAAAATATATGGTTGACTGACAAGATACAAAGGACTACCCACCTTCTGGGGGAAATGAAGAAGGCTGCCCAGCATATCTATATCCACTCTGACCAAGACAGTGTCTATGAAAGGGATGCCTCTGCAAGCAAGCATGCGTGCGTGCACACGCACACACCCACACACACACACACACACACACGGACCAGCTTTTACAAACATCAGCCTGAGAGCAGACCCTGAGACAGAGAAATCACCTGATGAGACAGATGATTAAATCTAGGAAACTGGCAGCTCTCTTCTAGGTAAGAAAATGGTAGCACCTTTTTACAGACACATGCCTTTATGATAATTTACAAATAGAAGGAGAGATGGAGCTAACACTCAGAATCTCTTCTCTACATAGCACTAGCAGATCTTAAGCTGAGCTCAGGGGACTCCAGTACCAACAGTTACCCATTCCCAAGCACTTAAACTCAACAAAACCTATGAAAACACTTCTCAGAGGTGCTAAGAAGATTAAGTAAAATCATGTACACTGGGGAGTCAGGAAGAGGAACTTGTATTTACTGGACAGCTACTAAATGTTAGTTTCCTCTCCTTCCCTGCCTCCAAATTTTTTTCTGAGTCACCCCTACTTTACAGCAACTATGGTTTGTGTCGTTTTATGCATGTGTATTCTTTTCCTAATTACCGAGTAAAAATCATGATGGTATGGACTGTGTCCCACACATACCTGAAAGATGCAAAGACATGCGAATGAGGTTATTCATTAAATGTGTAACTCTAAATTTGCTCCGATTTCCCAAAAAGGAAACAAAAACAAAAACAAAAACACAACACTCTGGTTCTTTAAATTATTATTAAAAACACAGCACCAGTGGCACATTTAGAGGAGTCCCACTCAGAGCCATTGGCTTAGAAAACATGATACTTGTTAAGCGGTAAACTAGCTCAATACATATGGCTGGTATATTTCCAAATTTCATTGGAAAGAAGTAGTCACCAAGTCCTTCCCATTTCCTTCTTGGAGGTGCACCCACTACCCTGTGCTCTGCAGCTTAAAGCCCAGGTAGCAGTCTCTGTGAGCCTTGCAACAAACAGGACAGTCAGAGGCAGCAAGATCCCACCTTGGGGGAAAGAATGACAGGAGATGTGTTCATAGGGGCCCACAAGCCACAGGACTTCAGAGGCAGTGGGGAACAGCAAAGTTAAAGGCAGAACACTCCAATCCATCTCCAGAAATATGACACCAAACAGTGATGAACCAGATAGAGCCTTTCCAGTAGCGTTTTCTACTGGGTACAAGGGTGGCAAGTGGAGACTGAAGAGGCATGGTTCCAGTTATTAATAAGCAGCTAAACACAGTGGGAGGTTCTCTTGTCTAATTACAGAAGCTGTTGGAAACTGCAAGGAAGACAGGATTTATGGCCTAGATGACACTGCCTCGGTGTTGTAATTAAAAGTTATTTTTAATAACTTTGGTTGGATACTTTGAATTATTAGAAATATATTTTGCAATTTAAAATTTGCTAAAGGGCAAAGAACATTAAAAAAGGTAATAACAACCAGCCTACATAATGTAAAACAATTAAATGTTTTGACACTGCGAGGTGGGAAAGGAAAAGAATCTCTCCCACTTAAGTGTGTGAATTTTTACAAGCAAAAGGGAAAGGGAAATAAATAAGCTTAAAGTATATGAAACAAGATTTTTTTTTTAAGCAGGAACTGATGTCAAAAGTAACCTAGTTACTTACTTTATCTATTAACCAGAGTTTGGGTACCATCCACCAAAAGTATAGACAGCTTGTTCACAACCATTCACCCAAACCACTGAATCCTAATCTTCAGGCTCTTCACTTTGTCCTGGTTCCCCAGAAAATCGTGGTCACCCTAACAAGAGCAGTCCTGGCTCAAGCACAAAGACCCAGAGGCTGACCTCAGAGCAGTGTGATGGTGGGGGACTTGGAGGGAGGGTTCTAATGTGAGCTGTAGGCAACAACATGCTGCATATAATTTGGGTGTTGTTTTTAGTCAATTTTCCTTCTCTCATCCAATATTCCAGTTTCCAGAAGGGGCAAAACAAAATGCCTTCCAGTGGGAACCGCATGGTGGTGTACATGAGTAGCTACAGAATCTGCCTAGGATTAGGCAGGGGCCATTTATCTCCTAAAAGCCATTTCCATAATTTCTATTTCTCCATATATACATAGGAGGCATTTTCTTCAATGGTGGCTCTTTTTTTTTTTTTTGAACAACAGGGAGGAGAGAACCTATTATACGTAACAGACTTTCAAAATTGTCTGATGGGAGTATGGAGGAGGAATGAACTCTAAAAGGCATGTGCTTCTCAAATAACCTCTATATTTCATTTAATCCATGCTATGAATCTTCTCTTTACAAGTGAATTCAAGCAGCTCATTAAGAGCAAATGTGTCACAGAAACCACCAAATATTATGCATCATGATAAAACTATAAAAAGCATTTTAACATCTGCTATTAAAAAATAAATTTAGACTTCTCTTTACAATGGCCATGCCAAGTTTATAGAATTTATATTATGTGGGTTCCAGTAAGAACCACTGCTCTCCTTTATTCTCTTCTTGGTCCAAAGCAGGGTGTGACTCCATATCAGGGCAGAGAATTGCTATTTTTACCTGCCACATTAATTTTCTCAAGTGCAACCAAGCTGGGAACAGCAGTGGTGGAGTTGGTTGAGTTTGTTCCGGTGCCATTGACAACAAGATTGTCCACCTTCGACTCCAACTTGCCAATGCGCTGCAAAATGTTATCTAATAACACAGCAAGGGTTTTCTTCAGATCTGTAAAAGAAAGTGCAGACAATTTTAAAATTCTATGGCCTCTGCATATCTGTCTGGCTTGCTCTCTCTTCATCATGGAGAATAAAACTTCTCAAATGTTTCTGAAGTGGTACAAAAGATCTGTCAAACCGCATCTGAAAGATGACAAGGGCCATCTTCATCTGGCCCAGATCCTACTAAATGCATCAGTCTGTTGCAGAATGCAAGTCTGACAATAAGTGACATGGTATAACTATTTCCAGCTACTTGGTCAACAGGGAAAACTCCTTGTTAGCATCCTGCTATAGCACTACATTGAATTCCTCCTTACAGCACCATAGTTTCTCATACAAAGCATGACACCTCAAGGGTGCAGCAAGATCCCAAAGTAGCCTTTGGATCAAGTTCGTTATTTTTCGTGTTGCATACTCTAGTATGTCCCAGTTTTTTAAAAAGTGTTCAATTCTGTTAGTTACATACACTAACACTTCATAAAAGCTACAGCTCCAGATTTTCAGGTCTGCTACACAACCCAGAATTGACTATAATCAGATTTAGGAAATATTTAAAGTAAAGATTAGAGTCATTCATTTGCTCACAAGTATTTATTAAGCTACTACTATGTGCCACATATTATTCTAGATGCTGGGGATATACTCTCATGGTTCTTACATTTAAGAGTTGGTTCCCTTTGTCACACATCTGACTACACATTAAAGAGTACTGCATTTCTCTCTGGATAAATTACAGGAACTCCTTCACCCCTATGGATGCATTTACTATTTGTAGACAAGATATTCAAAGGAAAAAAAAAGATAAGCTTAGACTCTCTCCTCTAAAAATTCATAATCACAGAAAGATATACTGACTTGTATGTGTCAGAAAAGCAGATGGGTGACTGCATAACCATCCATGGAAATAGAATCCAGACCCATTTCTGAATTGGGAGTGGGCCAGGGGAAAAGTGCAGAGCGTGGGTAGCAGGACTGAGAAAAGCCCTGAGTTAAGACAAACGGGAAGTTGCAACTTTCCTTTCTCCTGGAAAATAGCAAACTTGTCCCTGAGCAGATGCAGTGATCTGACCATGAAAGAAACACACGTGGTCACATAAACAGCACAGATCACAGCCAGCGAACCTCGTCAAAGGTACACCAGCCTGTTCCATTATGCCCAGTGAACCAGAAGCAGATGCTGGTGCTGTGCTTCTTGTACAGTGGCAGAATCTTGAGCCAAATAAATCTCTTTTCTTTATAAATTACCCAGGCTCAGGTATTTTTCATAGCAATGCAAAATGGACAACTGTTTTATCTTCACATCCTCCCCATGAGGTAGATGTGACTCCATTTTACAGATAAGAAAACTGAGGTTCACAGATATTAAATAAGAAGCTGATAAAATGAGGGCTTGCCTCAGGACTGTTTAATTCCCTGATGTCTCAATGGGACCAATCAGAAGTCAAGAACCTGGGTAGAAAAAATAAACCAAGGGTGAAGTTCAGAGTCTTTCATCTATAACACAGTAGTTAAGGGCCTGACTTTGGAGCCAGAGTTCCTAGGTTTGAGTCCCACCTCTGGCATTCCTGTTTCCTTATCTGTAAAAGAATGACATGAACAACACTTCAGCTTTGGGGTTGTGGAGAGGAGTTAATGAGTTAATATTTATAAAATGTTTTGAATACTGGCTGGCACATAATAAGCACTGCATAACCACCTGTTAAATATATAAGTAAAATAAAGCCTTTCAGTGGAAAATGTTCTCATCCTTCCCAAAGAAATCTCTCCTCGGTGATGCAAAGCTTTATTGCTTTATCCAAAGGGTCATGAGAGCACTCTCCTCTGCGGTCTGCAGTCCTACGGTCGGCATGACTCAGTCTGTCACAGGCACATCATTAGTTGGCACAGACAGCGGGAGTCGGTCACCTGTTCTGTCACTGAGTCTAATGCATCAACTGGCTCTCCAGAGTTCTGAAGAGTGCCGGAGGCCAGCCACGCAGAAGGGGGCAGTCGTGCCAGCGAGAAGGGGCAATGTTCAGTATAAAGAAATACTCCTCAGTATTTCTTTTCATTTCTGCCTCTTTGCCTAGAGCCTGTGTCATCAAGCCAGCTAGAATCCGAATACGATCTAGATAGCATTTAACTATCACCAGTAATTGTAGTTGGCCAAGCACAGAAGCCCTGGCCCTCTAGTGTGACTTAACTCAGGATTTCTCAACCTCGGCACTACTGACACTTTGGGCCAGGTAATTCTTTGTCGTGGTAACTGTCCTTGCATTGTAGGATGTTTAGCAGCACCCCTGGTCTCTACTCCCTGAATGACAGCAGCAATTCTCCAGGTGTGGCAATCAAAAATGTCTCCAGACACTGCCAAATATCCCTTGGAGGGACAAAACTGCCCTCATTTGAGAACCGCTGAATTAGGTGCATTCTCTCAAACCCTCTGTATTCCCCACTGCCCCTCTGTGAAGACATGGAGAGAGAACTGTGATAGAGGGCTTACAGGAAAGGAAATGCCCACTGAATGAACCTGCATCATGTGTGACTTCCATTCACTGGAGGGACTGCTACAAATACAACGGAAAGTTGCAGTGAGGGAAGTCTGCCTTTCTCCCTAAGGGAGAGCTAACAGAACATGAGCCAATGCTGATGGGCTCTCAACAGACTATTGGACAGAGTCCTCAATCCATTGTTACTGGTGATAGTCATTAGTGGAGCATACTCTAGGTAGGATACGAAGTTGTCACACTTATAATTAAGAAGATATTCTCCCTCAGTTCTCAAATTACAGTGACCAGTAAATACGACTGACCTACTATTTCTTGTTGACCCCATCTGCCAAAGATTGACCTTCTGTGACTGTGTGACATGGAGTGTAAAAGGGGATTCATGATGAGGAGGAGGGATCACCATCACCACAGCCACCCTGATATCACCTCCTCTACTTACTTAACTTTCTATATGCCAGGCAGTGTGCTGAGCACTTTAAATGAACTAATTCATTTAATCCTACCAAGACAATCTGAGGAGCATATGATCATCCCTATGCCCCTCTTACAAATAAATCACAGCACAGAGAGGCTAAATAATTTAGCAGAGGTGATTACAGACCCAGGACTCAAACCCAGTCTGGTTCCAGGGCTGATGGCTCTTACCCACTATGCTGCACTGCCTCTTAAGAACTACAACGGACCCGTCCACCAGCAAGCATCTCTGACTTGCTTCCCCTGAATCTACTTGTTAGAGAATAACCTCTGGGATTTTGCCACGTGTTCGTGGGAAACCATATACCAACCACTCTTAAGACTCACTCATGCCCCTGTCCTGTGGCAACTCTGGTCACCTGACCCAGTATCACTAAACATCCACCAGCTGACACTGGCGACTACCAAATACATCAAGTGATCCAAGATTTTTTTAAAATTAAGACTCTTTCTATATCTTCTCCCTTAAAATGAAGATGGAATATAAGGCTACTAAAAGCCTTGAATTCTCTAAGCACTTTACCTGGGGAGGCATGTTTTCTCTCCCAATATGAAAGAAAAAAGTTCATTTTTAACTCAAGCAGCTACCCAAGTCACCATTTCAAAGCAGCCAACCCAAGATTAAGGATGTTGTTAATAAAACACAATGACAGAGATGACACCAAGCCCATATCTGTATCATTATACAGTGCTTGGCACATTAAGTATGTGTTATCTAAGTAAACAAATGAATGAATGAAACAAACTATAGTACTCTCACAAATAAGGCTCAATAAATTATACGTTTCCAGGCAATGAAATTATTTTGCACCTTTGTATTTTACTGTTAAACCTCCAAAAACTGTTAACAGTTTTATCACAATTTTAAAGAAATAACAGGCTGACATGGTGGCTCATGTCTGTAATCCCAGCACTTTGGGAGGCCAAGACAGGTGGATCACCTGAGGTCAGGAGCTCGAGACCAACCTGGCCAACATGGTGAAACCCCGTCTCTACTAAAAATACAAAAATTAGCTGGGCGTGGTGGCATGTGCCTATAGTCCCAGCTACTCGGAAAGCTGAGGCAAGAGAATCACTTGAACCCGGGTGGCGGAGGCTGCAGTGAACGAAGATCGTACTGCTACACTCCAGCCTGGGTAACACAGCCAGAGCAATACTCCATCTAACATAACATAACAACATAACATAACATAACATAACATAACATAAGAAATAACAGTTTTTTTGTGTTTTAATTTTTTTTTTTTTTTTTGATATGGAGTCTTGCTCTGTGGCCAAGGGTGGAGTGCAGTGGCACGATCTCAGCTCACTGCAACCTCCGTCTCCTGGGTTCAAGTGATTCTCCTGCCTCAGCCTCCTGAGTAGGTGGGATTACAGGCACCACCACGCCCAGCTAATTCTTGTAGTTTTAGTAGAGACGGGGTTTCACCATGTTGGTCAGGATGGTCTCGAACTCCTGACCTCGTGATCCACTCGCCTCAGCCTCCCACAGTGCTTGGATTACAGGTGTAAGTCGCCGCGCCGGTCCATTTGTGTTTTAATCCTAATGGTAACCCTTTTATTCACTACAACTGTACAAAGAATTTCTATAGTTTAATAAAAATGAAAGAATATTACTCCAAATTCTTGTATAATATTTTAATATTTCATTGTGTCTTATAGTTATTATAGCCATAAAATGCGTCCTCAGCAAGATTATCACTTTCAATTACTAATGAGCTTTTAAAATTTTGTTTGTGGTTCAAAGCCTTCGCAATAAAAATTTAATCCCAACATTACTACTGCAATTCTGCATTCCTAAAACTTACTGTACATGATGAAGATGAGATCAAAGTAGTTGAAAAACATTTAAAATGTCTCTCTGGGGAAAGCAGGCTTTGGTTTCTATCATGTTGGCATTCTTTGATAAATGGTAAGGTCGATTAAACTGCACTGGAACAGGTTATTTGACAGCTTCTGTTAAGTTTTCATTTCCAGGAAGCCATGGCATTAATGGGTAAGAAGTGACTGGAAGGGGCTGACAGACACATCCTTGAGCAGACAG